CACCTTCTGTCTGGGCCGCACGGCTTCTGTTTGGTAAGTCCAGTTAGCCTATGATTTACAGTTCGGAAGCTGTGACACGTACACACCTGGAAAGCTTGATTCATCACAGTTGCCCGAAAACTGTAACGTGTCTCTCCGTGATGTGCGTCATCTCGTAGGCTAGGATCACCACACGAACCCTTTGACTCATTAGTCTAACCCAAAATGTGTTGAGTCGAACACGAGACAGTAAACCGCGTAATCGTACGGGAGCTTAAATGTTATCGCTGGATAAGGAGGAAGTCATTCAATATCTGGCTGATTCAGCTATGGACATATGGGGCCAATTTTTATTGGAGTCTACATCCTAAAGTGTGAAGTTTCATGTAAGGTGAATTTGGTCGTACGGTTGGCTGAATTGTCCATAATTTTCTTTCGTTCTGCTCAGGACTTAATCTTTTTAAATATATTACTGTACATCATGCATATTTTACGGGGCACGCTGTGGTTTGATGCATTCCACATAACCAAAGTCGATGGCTGGTCTAAGAAACACAAAGATAAGTGAGTATAGAGCTTACCCAAGTCAATTCAAGCCAAGTCAAGAGTGTACTCTATTTATCCACTATTTATAGAGCTTTTAGTGTAAAACTTATCACTTTTGCTTTGACGCACATGTGATTAAATGGATTTAAGAATATGGCATTCAGTAAATGGGCAATGATAATGAATAGTGAGAACTCGTAGTGAAAGTAGGAAATATATTATGAAAAATATGAGATTGTCTCAGTTTATTTCATAGTCTTACTCTGGAAATAGAATATCAAGCCGGAAAAAGTACAACAGAATTGTGAAAAGCTGTGTCCTGAGTTTGACAGAAATGAAAGTAGAACGAAAGAGGTCTAAGTGTAAATGATGTGATGCATCAGACAAGATGAAGTCACATAAACGGTCACATGCTTTAAGGTGTTGGTTGACAATAGAGTCAACCAGCGAAATATAGGAGACATTCACATTGAGAGATGCTCTTCGGAGAGCGTCTGAGTAACTTGAAATCCTAAGACAACAGATCGGGGAAAGTGACGGGGGAGCATTGGGTCCAGTGAAATAAAACATACGAAAAAATAAATTTAGACACCTCGGATATCGAAGGAGTGAGCTGTAAAACGTCAACTTCCGGACTTTAGGAAATGTTTGTTGCAAGTGGTAGGATCATTTAAGGTCAGCAGACGGAAAAAATCCATGGTATTTGAAATGCTGTGACTTTTCAACGTTTGATTTGTCGGTCAAGATGTTGAGAACAGGTGATCCAGAATGTGTGGTTTGTGCAGAATAATAGAAAACAAAACTTCAAT